CTCGTACCTGCCTCCTGGTACACCCATGAGCTGTGGGCACTGCCCGCACCGGCTGGCAGCACGCTGGCTGTAGGCTACAGCTTGGTGCTGAGCTACTTGGGAAGCTGCCTGGAGATCCTGGGGGGGCTGGCTCTCGCCCTCAGCTTCCACCACTGCTGCAAGAAGCGCAGGGCCCCCAAACTGCCCCCCCACCCTGCGCTGGAGGCTGGGCGGTGCTCCACCACTGGGGCTTACCGCAATCCCTGGGATGTGCTGGAGGACGAGCAAGATGGACGACACCGGAAAAGCACCCTGCCTTGTGACTCCGATTTGTAGCCCCAGCACAGGGACAGCAGTGGGCACCGGCCAGCCTGCCTGCCTGGCCCTGAGAGCAGCGCAAGCTCCTGCCCCTCCAAGCCATACCCTTCTCTTGGGGCACCTCAGAGCATGCTGGAAACAAGACCAAGGACCCGGCTTGAATCTCTGCAGCCTCCTGAAAAGCCTGCCGTGCTCCAGGTCCCACAACTGTGCCAAAGCCATGCTGGGTTGAGGACCAGCCCTGGCTCCAGTTCTTCCATGCAGCTTTTAGCTCATCCTCCTGCACCATGCAGCAGCTTGGGCAAAGGCAGCGCCTGTGTTCCCACATGAGCAAGGTACAGGTTAGCACCGTGTAGCCTTCAGGGCTGGGAACAGCGGAGGGGAGCACCTCTCACATGTCTCTGCTCAACTCACGGCTGTGCAAACAGCAGAATAAATGACGAGGAATGGGTCTGTGCTGTGGGATGGTTATGGGCTTTCTGCCAGGCAGGCTGGGCTGAGAGCCAGTGGGCACAACTAACCCAACTCCCCCATGCTTTGCCTGAAGCAGGGAAGAAAGGTCTGTAAAAGGGGAGAGGTAGTTTTTATAGCACCTTCCTCGAGGACTTTTCCCTTATGGTCAAAAATCAGCTCTGGAAGAGGTTTCTCCTTCCTTGAGCACAGCCACTTCAGGGGACAAAAAGAGATCACGGGGCGGGGGAAGCGTATTTTCCATTTCATCATTAGCTTGCTGCAAGGCAGTAAAACTCGCCTCACCGGTTTGTAAGGGACACTTAGGAGGTCAGAACTGCGCTATAAAATCCTGTTCAGCACCCTGCATAACAGGGCAAGAGCCAAGCCAGCTTCCTTGCAGAGCTATTCAGCCAGATTTCTACCCCAGGCGAGCCCAAAGCACGCTGGTCAGCAAGCTAAGCCTTGCTGCAGAGGAACAGTGGATTGAGATGCCCTCAGTGTGGCTACGGGATGGAACAGGATGCACCCTGCAGCAGGGGATCAGATTCAGGTGGTTCAGAGAGTGTGTTGGGGCTGGAGACTTCCTGAAAAACCTCCCAAAGCTTTTTGCTCTGGACTCTAAGTTCCCTAGAGCTTAGAGATCCGGGAAGAGCAAACCAACTTTCCCTCCCTGGCCCACACACAAACCACAACGGCACCAGAGATGCTGCACAACGTTCCTTTATGAAAGTACAGTGTCGAGGCGAGATGGTCCCTTCCTCAGCGGGGCTGGCAGCTCCTGCAGAGATCACAGACGGGTGCATCAGCCAGCCTCCCCGGGCCCACCCCACACCTTGGCACATGGGCTCCAGCCACAGGCAGAGCAGGGCAGCCCCTGTAGCGGCCAGACTCCAGGCATCCCCAGGTCTTGCCCCTCTCCCCCAGCAGGAGGGCAGAGCTTGCCTCAAGAGTTGACACCATGTCAGCACTGAGCCTGGGGAGGGATCTGCATATCGGGGGGACCTTGGGGCACCCCAGGGTGGCAGGGGGGTCCCTACCAGGGCCCGCTCCAGATGCTGCTCACCTCTTTCCCATCGTAAGCTTCATTCACAAAGGTATCACTCTTGGGGGGAAGCTCTTCCTCTTCCTCATCCTCTTCCTCAGGGTCACTTTCACGGTGGTACAAGGTCAGCACCCGGGTGGAAGCAGTGCTTGAGGTCCTGGGGAGGAAAAAAAAAGTACACTGAGGATGGCACGGCCATTTGCTAGAGATGGGGCAGATCCCAAAGTCCTGCCACAGCCCCCAATAATAGCCTGCCAGGGTGATCACAGCTTTCCACATAGCCCAAGAGTGCCCCAGGACACCATGCTGTCCCCAGGCAGGGAGACCCTGTCCCTCTCCATCCCCAGTTGTACCTAGCCCAGCCCAGCCCCAGAGCTCACCTCCTCCGCCTGTCCCGCCTCCGCATGTAGGCCAGGGCCCCCACAGCAGCAGCAGTGAGCAGCAGGAGCACGGCCACCCCCAGGGCAATAGGTCCTGCAACAGGCTGCACCTCTGCCTCCTCGCAGTAGTCACCACGATAGCCCAGGGCACAATGGCACGTCACTCGCCCAGCCTCAATGGCACAGTCCCCGCGCAGGTTACACGTCTCGCTGCTGCACGGCACAGCCCCCAGCACCTCCTCGGTGCTGGGGGGTACCAGGAAGGCCTCTCCATGCTCCCGGGGGCCAGGGGCTGCAGGCAGGCTGGGACTGGGCTGCCGAGGCTTGTGTGCAGCTGTGGGTAAGGCTGGTTTCTGTTCTTCCACATGGGACATTCCTGATGGTGCCACCATGGGGACCTGTGTCCCCATCTTCACAGAGGGACCTGGAGAGATGGGTGTAGATCAGCAGAGACCCAGGTGAGATCCTCCTTCCCAAACTGGGGGAGACTGGGCAGACCTGCCCTGTGCCCAGCCAGGACCCCTGCACGCCCCAGCTGTGGGCAGGCACTCACAGTCAGACTCATCAGAGCCGTCAACGCAGTCAGGGCGCCCGTCGCAGACCTGCTCTCCAGAGATGCAGCTCTGGAGGTCAGGGCAAGCCTGGAGCGGGGCCAGGCAAGGCAGCGCTGGTCCGCACCAGGTGGTAGCCAGGGGAGCAGCGGCACAGCCGCCCTGCAGGGTTGGGCAGGCAGAGCTGGGCACAGCCCCCGTTGCTCTTCGCACAGCCGTTGGTGCCTGCCAAAACAGCACAGGTTAGCATGGCCAGCGTGGGGAATTGCTCAATGCCCCAGATGCCCCAAGCTGGGGCAGCCCCAGACCCACCTTCCTGGGAGAACTGGCTGTAAATCCTCATGGCTACCAACTCCTGCTCCATCGGGAACCACCGGCTCTCAGCCCGCTCCAGCCGGCTGTACCAGATCTTGCTGGAGCCTGGAGACGCTTGAGGTCAGCACTGCTCCACCTCCTCCCACAAGGGTGCCCGGGATGGGACATCGTATCCCCCAGCCTGCCCTTAACCCCGGAGAGGGGCAGTCTGCACCCCACAGGGACTGGCAGAGACCCCTGTGTCCTGCTGCAGTAGGAGGAGCTGAACAACACACAGCAAATGGACTCACCGTTGGTTGAGGTCGTGCTCCAGAGAAGAAAGCCTTCTCCGATGGCAAAAAGCGAGAGGCCGTGCAGCCCTTCCCGCACCACCCGGAAGCGGGATCCATCCAGCTCGATGCTGCTGATGGTGCCTCTCTCTGCAGGGCACAGATGCAGGGACATCAGATGTGAGGACATAGAGAGCTCCGGGCTGCCCATCGGGGTTGTGCGGGCTGTGCCCTGCGGACCGAGCGCCTGCGCCACCGCTATCCCCAGCAGTGCCCCGGCTCAGCCCAAACTCACCGCGGTCTGCCCAGTACAGCCGGGAGCCAGCACCCCCAAAGGCGAGGCCAGTGGGAGCCCGGGCTCTCCTCCAGAGCACTCTGCGGCCGGTGCCGTCCATGGCCGC